GGCGGCGGCCCCGGGGGAGCGGGCGCCGCGCGCGCTCCCATTGGCCGCCCCGCCGTCAGCTGCTCCTATTTTCTGCTGTCGCTTTTGGCGCTCGGCCATCCAGAAACAAACCACTTCGATGACTCCTAATAGTTATCGCCAGATGTACTAATACACAACAAATCACGGTCCGGGAGAGGGGGAGAGCAAATGAGTTCCTATTTCGTGAATCCCACTTTCCCGGGGAGCCTGCCCGGGGGCCAGGACTCTTTCCTCGGGCAGATCCCCCTTTACCCGGCGGGCTACGATGCTCTCAGGCATTTTCCGGCTTCGTACGGGGCAAGCAGCCTGCAGGACAAGACTTACACCTCACCTTGTTTCTACCAACAGTCCAACACCGTCATTGCTTGCAATCGGGCTTCCTATGAGTACGGAGCCTCTTGTTTTTATTCGGACAAGGAGATTAGTAGCGCCTCTCCCTCCGGCAGCGGCAAACAGAGGGGGCCCGGGGACTACCTGCACTTTTCTCCCGACCAACAGTACAAATCCAGCGGCGGGCAAGCCAAAATTGTAAATGACGAAGGCACCGACCGGAAGTACACGAGCCCTGTTTACCCCTGGATGCAGCGGATGAACTCCTGCGCTGGTAAGGCATTTCATGCAATCGGGGGTGGGGGGGTGGGCGAGGAAGGAAAAGTTTCTTTCCCCGGGTTTTTTTTTTTTTTTTTTTTTTGGTTCTTAGATAAAGTCCAGACTGCCGGAGAGACGCGGTTCCTGCAGGGCAGTGCGTAACACGAAACCTTCCCAGGTTATTTTAGACCTGGCACGTTGGCACCCTGGGAACGGTGGCCGAGAGCCCAGCTTGTGGGTTCACTGGCGAAAGTTACCGGGGAATCCTTAAGAAGCAGGCAAAAAAAAAAAAAAAGAAAAGAAAAAAGGAGAAAAAACCCAGCAGAGCAGTTTTCCCACTCTCCTAAAGCCACCCCAAAGCCTCTGCTCTGCTTCTTCATTGTCACAGAGCGATGCAGGGAATATGCCCTCTGTACGGGGGATCCAATGCATTTGTGGCACATTCCTCCTCGCCCCCCTCCCCCAGCTCATTAGCCTGTGAGTATTGGATATTGAGAGCACGTTTCTGGGGCCGTGGGCGCACTTCCATGGCATCGGGGATTTTCGCTGACTTACGAGTGAACTTCACGTAATTGAACTATTCTGTCCAGGAGTGGTGCTGGGGGGGGGGGGGGGGGGGGGGGCAGGGG